AAAAAAAAAAAAAAAAAAAAAAAACCATCTCTTTTGATGTGATCACAGCCCAATACAAGGCATTACAGCATGAGTGTAAGTATGAGGTGAGTGAGGCAGTTGATACCACCAATAAAAAGTCATAATATAGTTGAATCAAATAAATAATTAATAATATATTAGTATATAATCTAGGCTACCAGCCAGGCCGCCCGGGTGCCAGGTGGCCAGCCCGGAGAAGATCCCCGCAAAAAAAAAAAAAAAAAAAAAAAAAAAAAAAAAAAAAAAAACCACCAAAAAACTATGTTATGCAGAAAAATAAACTAAACAACTTTTGCCCAAGGGTCACATCGAAATTCTTTACCAAATTTAAAATAAAAAATTAAATAAAAAAACAATTTTTATTTTTTTTTATTTTTTTTTCTTTTTGGCCCGGCCGGGCAAGTGGACCCGGGCCACTCTGGTAGCCTAGTATATAATATAATAAAATAATCATATAATAGATTAGAATATATAACATATATATCTAGTATATTATAAAATATGTTATGTGAGATTTGCCCCGCCTCGTTGGCAAGGCATCTGGGGTACCCACGATGGATTTGAAGTGGCAGCTACGGCTGCAGGGGTACCCAGGATGAATTTTTAATAAATGTCTCTAGAAATTCGTGATGAAGCGAGCCCCGTCCTGGGAAGGATGGGCGCAGAGGCTTGGGGGGTGGTGAAGAGTAAGATAGTGGTAAGGAGGCTGAACCCGCGGGCAGGCAGCGATCGGCTGCCTAGCGATTAACTGTTTACTCGTTGGAATTGGGTCTCGATCCGATAACCGGTCTGCCACGGTTAGGAAAATAAGGTGCTGGTTCGGGACTGACGATGTGGGCCACTAGCAATCCAGGCTCGGACCTAGTCTAACGAGAAGTTTCTGGAACCAGGCGAAGGTACTGGTCAGGGCCAGGAAGGTCCCGGTAGCGTGTGGGACACGAGTGAAAGTGGGGAAGTGGACTTAGTCTCTAATCATAAGCATAATGGTAGTATAAAATAGGAGTAGACTAATCTCCTAAGCATCTCGAAGTCCCCCTAATGAGGCCGCTTACTGGCAGCGGCTGAAACTAGTAGGGGAGCGCCAGTTCCCTTCGTCTTCCGGGTCTCACGTTTTTTCGCGGTGAGGAGGGAGTTGACGTTTTCGGCATGGTTTGCCCTGGCATCCATGGCCGTGTCCATCTCGGCTTGTAATTCCTTTCTTTCGGAGATTCTTCAGGATTTGCTTCTCACATATTGTTGTCGCCTGTGGCGATTATGTGGTGTTCTGAGTCGTCGTTCATGATTTCGTTATGCTTCATAACTGTTGTGTTCGGTTATACTCCATCTTTACCATCCAGTATCAACAGTGGCAACCGGCCGGGAGAATTCTCCTGTGCAGAGGGTGGCCCTGTAGCAGTGCACTTAGGAGGAAGAGAGAAGTGACTTTCGTGATACGTTGGACTTAGTTGAGGTCGGCAGATTCGGAGTCCGGCAAACGTTACGAAGACCATGTTCGGCAACTTTGAGGGTGCTGCTTTTAGGAAGGAGAGAGTAGTGACTTTCGAGATACGTTGGACTTAGTTGCGGTCGACAAGATTCGGTGTCTGGTGAACGAAACGAAGACCGTGTTTGGCAGCTTCGAGGGTGCTGCAACATGAGTTCGAGTGGATATGGCGATGGAGGGAATGGAGGCGGCGGTGGAAACTGGAATGGGGGAGAGGGTCCTGGGGGTAGTAACGAAGGAGGTAACGGGGGCTGGCAAGGAGGGAACAACGGAGGAGGTAACGGGGGTTGGCAAGGAGGGAATAATGACAATTCTAGTGAAGGAAATGGAGGATGGAACGGAGGTGGCAAGTGGAACGGTGGAGGTCCTGGTAATAACGGAAGTGGGAATCGGAGTAATGGGAATGGAAATGGATGGAATAATGGAGGTGGGAATGGTTGGAATGGGAATGGTGGGAATTGAAATGGTAACGGAGGTGGCACATGAAACTCGAACGGTGGAAATGGGAACGGGGGCCGTGGCAATGGGATGGGGGGAGTAACGGAAACAATGGAGGAGGCGATTGGAAGCGCTCTGCAAGGTGCTATAATTGTAACCAATACGGACATATCAGTCGCGAGTGCAACGCACCTCGACAGTGGAATCAACAGGGAGGAGGGAACGGTGGGCGGATGGTTCAAGATGGAGCAAGTAGCTCAGGCATGACGAATGAACCCATCATAGCAACGGGACTGAGTAAGGACCTGGAAGAATCCTTAAAAAGAGTCTGCTTATACACGAATTTAAAGATTGAGAAACAAGAGAGACGGGAGGCAGAAATAAGAGAAGCAGAGGAGACGAGAAAGCGAGATGAAGCGGAAAGAGTGGCGAAGGAAGAGCAAGCGAAAGTTGAGTTGGTCAAGAAGAAAGCCAAGGAGGATAAGGAAGCCAAGCGAGAGAAGAGGATGGAACAACGACTAGCGAAACAAAAGCAGACGTTGCGATAGGAGTTTAAAATAATGTTTGAAAGACGGTTAAGAAACGCTATTGTATGGCAGAAAGTTGTCAAGGGGAAGGGTAAGATGGAGTCTAGCGAGGAGGAAGCCGAAGAGGAGGATCGTTTGGAAAAATGAAAACGTGAACCAGCGGAGGCCTGTTTGGTGAACCCGCCGGAGGAGTCACCTTCGAAGGATAGAAAGGCGAGTTCATCAGCCCCCATGAGGGCGATGGAGGAAAGATCGCCAAGGCTTGGCGTCCCAAGAAGAGGAGCACGAGCCGCATCTTTAGGATACCTGTATACAGAGTCCCAACTGTGGGAAGGAGCGCCATCTGCACAAGACTATAACATGACTGTTGCCTTCAGGAAGGTCATCCGCAAGTTCCCTAGCAAGAAAGGGAAGCCTACAATCGAAGAGATGTGTCGTGAGGCTGGAGTTGTGTATCGAGGGAGACCGAAAGCCGTGGACGAACTGGTTGAGATTCGGGTTATGCACTTCAGTACCGATGACAGTCAACCATCAACGGCTATACCGAGACAAACCATCCCCCGGCAGCGTGGCGGGGGAGTGGTTATTCGAGGAGTGCGAGACACGTTGCGCGAATTAGCGCCTGAACCTCCATCGGACGAAGCAGCCGGAGGTGGTAGTGATCCCCGGGTTTACTGAACGATGGAGCGAGCTACGTAAGTTCTTGCGTGTACGCAAGATTTTAATTCCTATCCGACTATTGGGTCTAAATTTTTACGGGATCTGCTGGAGAGGGTGTTGAGGTATTTATTTATTCTACTAGTTTTAAGAGGAGAAGTCCAGTGGGCTAGTAGGTATTTAGGTACTTGGTGTGATTTGGTTGAAAAAGATACCGGGTGCTGGGATAATCCGAGTTGTTGTGTGTATGTTTTGGTTAACCCGGAAGTTAGATCTACGTACATTGGTCAAACAAGCTGTGAGTTATCTGTCCGGTGGGAGGAACACATTAGTAGGACTAAATTGGTGGGTAATAATCGCAACTCGAAGTTATATAATTGGTTGAGATATAAAAGTTTCGAGAACTATGTGGCGTTGCCTTTGGCCTTTATCATCCCGCCCGGTAATTTGAAAAAAGTGGAGAAAGTTTTTATGGGGAGGTGGTCACCATGTTTGAACTCAAAGGGGGGGGGGCAAAAAGAATACCAGAAAGCAGGGAAGGAAAGGTCGAAAAGAAAAAAAGAAGGGACGCTCATGGAAATACAAAGTTGAACGACCACTGATTTTCACTACGGATCAGTTGAGAACTGTGAACTTGGTTGAAGTGAGTAGATCCGCCTGGAAGAGTAGCAAGTGTTTTATATAAGAGGGAGGGACTGTCTAGGGTCAAATGTGGGATGTGATCGTTAAAGAAATCGGGTGTAGTAGGATTAAGTACATGGGGGAGAGCAGGTGCATCAGAGAGTTTAGAAAGAAGCTCGAGCAGAGGGGGTAACGTCGAGATCGAGAAGTTGGAAAAATGAGTTTTGTCAACGGATAAAGCCACTCTGAAAAGGGTTGCACCAAGTCCTTCGGAATCCTTGGTATAAAAAAAATTATATAAATATGACCTAGACAAACTGATGCGACTATTGACAACCGTTAACCTCTTCTCTCGACCGGGGACTCGGACTTTGTTGAAAAATGCGCTGGCGGGAGTTATCTGGCAGAAGTTTAGATTTAATATTAGGAAACAGTTCAGTGTGGGGATAACGTATGATCATGCTTTGTCAACTTGCGCCATTCGTAAACTTGTGGTTCGGAGGATTCGTGATGCTTCGCCTGCGTCACTAGCTACCTTTACGTGTCAGAGGCTCCTTATTACGTGGAAGAAGAACCGCGAGATTGGGGAAGTCTTACATAACCACCGGCATGCCTCTCAACAGCTGGTGGGAATCTGCTCTTGTGCATATAATGCTCTCCCTCGTGTGGAGGGTCACGTGCAAGGATGACTGAGTAAACTTGGGGGGGGTTCAAATTTTGTGAAAAATGCACGGAATATTCCGCTCCGAACAGAGTCTGTTCAGGAACGAATGGTTATGTAAGAGCTGAATGATAGCTTAAGTAAGTTAGGTTTTGACATTGTGATTAACCTGCCTGAAGTTTGTGAGTGTGTCACAACTAAGATCGCTAAAGGAATTAACCATGGGAGTGAGATGCAGAAAGTCAAGGAACTCTGTTCAGGGATGGTCTGTTCAGCAGTTGACCGATATTCGGCGGAAACTGCTATTATGTGCCCTTTGGTGTATGCACGGGCAATGAAGGAAACGTTTTTGGGGAATGAGAGTTTTTCGGCAGTGTGGGATTCAGAAGCTGAGATTTTGTCTGTATGTGAGGCGAAATTTAAACAGTTAGGTTTACACAGAAGTCCGGGGAAATGGGATAAGAACGGAAAATTAGGACGAGCCTACGTTATTCCAAAGAACAAGGATATTAGTAGGTTCCGCCCAATTAGTCCATCCTTTACTGAACCGTTACGTACGGTAGGGAGAAGAATTGCGAAAGCTTTGAATCACTTGCTCTTTGTTTTTCCGAAGTCTGAACATTTCAATTTGAAATCAACCAATGAACTGAAGGATCAGGTAAAGGGTGTTAATCAGTGGATTAAGGGGAAAGGTCAGGGGGAGTTGACAGAAGCGACTTTTGACATAAAGGAAATGTTAAGTCAAATGTCGCATGCCTCAATTCGGGACGCAATGGACTGGTTGTTAGATTGGTATAGAGCGAAGGGAAGGACGAGTGTGAGTGTGAAGCGTAGGGGTAAGAGATCGACTTTTGCGAACAAAGTGGACAATGCTGCATGGCTGGACATTGACTTTGACACGATCAAGACAATGGTAAATTTTGAATTGAAGTTTACCTACGTTGTGGCCTCGGATCGTCTTATTCAGCAACATGTCGGGATTCCAATGGGGAAGAGTAACAACCCCCCATTGGCGTGTATTCTTTGCACTATTTGTGAGCAGAAGTTTCTCCGTGGATTGGGGAATGACAGAAGTTGATTAAAGGTCTGAGGCTTATTGATGACGTGACGATCTTTGTCTGGGCCCCAAAGAAAGGCGGGCAAGTGCGGAAGGCCAGAATTCTGGAAAATTTCACGGACATATATGATGACCGACTGATATTGAAGAGAACGGATGAAGGCATGAATGAGTGGGATTTCCTCGGAACCAAGGTTGAAATCAACAACAACAGGGTCAGATGCTATTGTTTTCCAAAGAATTTCGAATGTGTCTGGAATGAGGAGGCTTTTTCTTTTTCTTTTTGAACCTTTTAGGATTATACGTCTTACACTACGTTGAGGTAGAAAAAGGCAGTTATCACAAGTACACTACATAGGATTTAGCGGATGACCTCTGATGAGGAGTTAATTGGGCTGAGTCTATTGACTTTGACGCGGCAGCTACGGGTACCCAGAATGAATTTTTAATAAATGTCTCTAGAAATTCGTGATGAAGCGAGCCCTGTCATGGGAAGGATGGGCGCAGAGGCTTGGGGGGTGGTGAAAAGTAAGGCAGTGGTAAGGAGGCTGAACCCGCGGGTAGGCAGCGGTCGGCTACCTAGCGATTAACTGCTTACTCGTTGGAATTGGGTCTCGATTCGGTAAGCGGTCTGCCTCCGTTTTTTTTTTTTTTTTTTTTTTTTTTTTCTTTTTTTTTTTTCTTTGAAACAGCGGGCCTAAGAAGTATAGGAAAATAAGGTGCTGGTTCGGAACTGACGATGTGGGCCACTCAGACCAGGTCTAACGAGAAGTTTCTGAAACCAGGCGAAGGTACTGGTCAGGGCCAGGAAGGTCTCGGTAGCGTGTGGGACACGAGTGAAAATGGGGAAGTGGGCTTAGTCTCTAATCATGAGCATAATGGTAGTATAAAATAAGAGTAGACTAATCTCCTAAGCATATCGAAGTCCCCCTGATTAGACCGCTTACTGGTAGCAGCTAAAACTAGTAGGGGAGCGCTAGTTCCCTTCCTCTTCCGGGTTTCACGTTTTTTTGCGGTGAGGAGGGCTTGCACGGGCTGGCCACTGGGACCCGGGCGGCCCGGCTAGTAGCCTAGGCATTTGGGAAAAAAAAAAAAAAAAAAAAAAAAAAAAATTGGGTTCAAAGTTTCGAAGGGGGGAATATTTATTTTTTGTTTTTTAGTTCGCGCCAACACTTTTTTTATGGTCGAAATGATTTTTTCTGACTTTGATTTTTTTTTTTTGTGGATGTGTGGGTACCTAATCCACACGCTTGTTTTTTTTCAGATGTTTTTATATAACGAGTTTCTAATTAAAAATCGTCGAAATTGGGGTACTTTTTGGTACCCCCACTTGATTGTCATGGGGTTTGAACTTGGAACTGCCTTTTAGCAGGTGGGGTGGCTCAACGGGCACTGCTGAGCACACCCTGCCAGTAAAGCAAGGCTGAGGGAAAACAAAATAGTTTTATTTTATTTTATTTTTTATTTAATTTTTTTCTTTAATTTATTTTTTTCCCCTCTTTTGGGGAAAAACAAGATTGTCAAAGCAATGAATGGAAAGGGGAGAATAAGAGTTGGGAAAAACAAAAACGCCGTGAATTTGATAATGGCCTTAGACCAAATGCAGGGCAAAGAAGCATTTGGATCATGAGTTGATAGTAGACTGTTGGGTTCAAACATTCTGTTGTAAATGGCTTAGTTCAGCCATTTGCAGCGCCTGGGCTGCGATAGCGGCCAGGTGCATTGCTGGGGTTGGGAACCTGATGTTCCTCGGGGGAATATCAAGGATTTCAACCCTTGATCTCGTTTGTGATCAAGGGCTGAGCCCAACTACGATTTTTGGTTGAGGGCAAGTAACTGCCCTCAGCCTTTGGCCAGCAGCTGCCTCACACATTTGAGGTGCTGCCCACACTCTACTTGAGTGTTGGGCAGTTGGTGAGAGGAGCTGCTGGAGTTGCAGAGTGAGAGGGAGGAGAAGTGGAGCTCTGCAGTGAAGGCTGAGAGAGGAGGATGTCATAGCCACCATCTCAGCAAGGGTGGAGC